AACAAATCATCAAACTACAAGTGTTGATGAGGGTGTAGAGAAAAGGGGACTCTAGTACACTGCTGGTGGGAATGCAGACTGGTGCAGCCACTATGGAAAACAATATGGTGTTACCTCAAAAAATTAAACATTGAACTTCCATTTAACCCAGTGATCCCACTTCTAGGAATATACCCTAAGAAGCCTGAAACACCAATCAGAAAAAAATATATGTACCCCCATGTTTGTAGCAGCACTATTTACAATCGCTAAGATCTGGAACAGCCCAAGTATCCATCAGTAGATGAAAGGATAAAAAAGCAGTGGTACATATACACAATGGAGTACTACGCAGCTGTAGGAAAGAAAGATCTCTTATCCTTTGAGGCTACATGGAGGGACCTGGAAAGTATTATCCTAAGCGAAACAAGCCAAACAGAGAAAGACAAGTATCATATGATCTCACTTATTTGTGGAATATAATGAACATAACAGTCTAAGGAATGGAGTAGTCCCAGAGACGTGGAAGTGGGGTATAGACTGATAATCCCCAGAAGACGGGGTGGTGGGGGAGAGATAAACCACAGAACTTATATGCATGTATGCATGAACAATGGACATGGACAACAAAGCTGGGGACAGGGCAGGGAGGGAGGGGGAGAGGGGAATCAGTTGGGGAAGAAGGAGAAACATCTGTAACAAAAATAATTAATTAATAAAAAAAAAAACTATAAACAAACAAACAAACAAACAAAAAAAAAACAAGTCCTTGGTTGATTCTGAGGCACACTCACACTGAAGTTCAAGAGTAGCTGATTATATCCAATCCTTTTATTTCACAATAATGAAATTGAGATATGGACTATCTGAGCCTTTTCATTGTCAGCTCTCTCCAGGATTTTATATTACACATAGATTCAAGTACTATCTATAGTAGTCCCCCTTATCTGCGGAAGATACAGTCCAATACCCTTATGCATATGTGAAATTGCAGACAGTATTAAACTTTATATATACTATGTTTTTTCCTTTATGGTTTCTTTTTGGCATATGCAAATTGCTAGCATCACTACTCTTGCACTTCGAGGCCACTGTGAAATAAAATAAAGATTACTTAAACACAAGCACTGGATGTAGTCACAGTGGATCTGATAACTGAGATGGCTCTAAGTGTCTGACAGGCAGGCTGGCTACACATCGTGAATAGACTGGGCAAAGGGATGAATCACGTCCAGGCCGAATGGAGCAGGGCTGCGCGAGGTTTCATCATGGTACTCAGAACTGCATGCAATTTAAAACTTATGAATTGTTTATTTCTGAAATTTTCAATTTAATATTTTCAGACCATGGTTAACCATGAGTAACTGAAACTACAGGACGTGAAACCATGTATATGCTGCTGACTTCCACTTCTGTATGTCTAGATTTTTTCCCTTAAACTCACATCTGCCTGCATACTTGACACCTTCATCTGGGTGTTTCACAGAAAGACCCAGATTCAATGTCCTTGTCTAATTTTTCTCCTAAATTCTTCCTTTTAATTTCTAAATATGGCAATTTTTTTCCAGTGCTTTGGCAAATATTAGTCTTTCTGCTTTGAAAATTTTCCTCTTTCCTCTCAGTTCAGCCTCTTCTTACCTTCTGATATCAACCCATATCTGTGGTTCTCAATGCTGGTGATAAATCATAATCATATAGATAAAATTTTAATAAATAATGCTACCTGGACCTCATCCTTAGATTTAATTCCTTTGACCATCTGTAGGGCCAGACACTCACACAGTTTTTAAAGTTTCTCCAGGTGACTTTAACATGCAAAATAAAGAAATATGTTACTTTCTCAGGGAAGCCTTCCCCAACTCACCAATCTACCTGTTAGAATCTCTAAATGGATTGCACATTTTATTTACAGTATTTATTGCACATTAATTAATTATATTCAATAATTGTCAGCCTGCTTGACTGTAAACTCTGTAAGAGCAGAGACCCCGTCTCTTTTCTTCACCTCTGTCTCCAGCACTTAACAGTGTCTGGCAAAAGGTTAGTGTTCCATAAATTATTGTCAAATAAATTAATTTATAAGGTTTCAAAGCTAGCTCATGGCAAAACTCAGTCTAAAACCAAGGTTCCATGACTTCTGCTTTTATAATTTTAGAATGCAGAGAATTTGATGGTTTTTGAACCGTATCTGCCCAAACAGGGACAGTTCTGATCTGGCCTTAGCCCTTCTGGTGGCAGATGACGCAGGCTGATAGTTCTGCTCGTCTGAATAGCAGCCCCACACCGTTCGACTGTTTTGCTTCATTTCTGAATCCTAAATTTTAGATTGGTTCTAATGTCTCCTGAGGATATCCTGGACTCTACTGAATTTTAATAAAAGAAGAACTACTGAATTTTTATGAGACTTACATATGATTTGACAGGAATTTCAATTAAATCTTTTGATCCAGAGAGCTATCTGGAAACAGTAGCTCTGTGGTAAAGAGTTCGTATTAGATGATTTAGATAGTTCATGCTCACATAGGCACTATTGTTTTCTTTATTGTGCCACCTTATATTTTATTAATAGATAGCTTTAACAAACAAACAAACAAAAATAAATAAAAGCATTCATCCAATTAGATAATACTCCTTTGGAAAGGTCAAATTCGTACTTTTTGAATAACAGTCCCTTTCCCCCAAATAACATACTCAGTTGGCAGTAGTTGATTGGAAGATCAGCACTAATTGTGGATATTGTTATTCCATAAGTCATTTGCAATTTTTTTTTTCCCTGAGAAAGGAATCTAATCTCAGTGGTCGTATCTGGGCTTTCTTGTCAGCTGCTGTTGGGAAGACTTCCCTACATAACATTATTTATTTAACTATTTAGGTTGCTGTTCTTAAATCAAATTCATAAATTTCCCACGATAGTCCCGATTTTGACCATCTTGCCTTACTAGTGCCTTAATATATCAAAATGCCCCAGGAATCCCCCAAATTTGTCAATAACAGCAAAATGACCCACGTCACAGGCTGAAGAGATTATTCACAAAAACATGTATTGGGACTTTTACGTGCTTTCTAAATCATACTCTCTGCAAACACCTCCCTAGTATCAATGCCAAAGCAATTGCTGTGTACGCCTCAGCAAGGCAAAGCTGAGTCACTGATTCCCGGTGATATGGATGGCAAACTCTCTCCAAGTGTAATTGAAGGCAGTTCTTTGAAGTATGTTCAAAGGAAATTATATTTCATTTTAATGTCAAAAGTAATGTAAAAATCAAGAAAATGTGTGCTTTCAAAGTAACTGGGTAAAAGGAGTATCCCATTAAAAAAAATAACCAGTAATCACAAGTGATATTGCGCACATTGCGGAAGTGAGATAAATATTGCTTGCATTGGGAATTTGATATGCCTTTATATACTCAGACAAAGAAAAATTGATTTACTCTAGGCTTTATTAACTTACAAGTAGAAAAACGGAGACCTTCATTTTTTTTTAATTCAAAGAGGATTTTTTACTTTTAAGAAGAAAAATCTTTTAAATAAACATGTTCTAAAATTGCATTTTAATGAGAGTTTGTGAGCAGAATGAGGAGAGTAGAAAGATTCAACAGAGCAAAAAGGGCTAAGAGGATAGGAAGAATGTGGATTCATTGCTTCATGGTTATGTACAAATGCCACTGTGCTAAAAAGGTTGTTTCCCCTAAATAATAACTCTTGAACATCAGAAACACATGTATTTCTAAAATATTCATAATCCAAGTAAAAAATCACAGACTTGCCAATAACTTCAGGAGAAAAAATATATATTTTTCAAACCAGACTGACCTTTTTACTAACTCTGCTCAGATATTATTAACCTTACTAGTGGTAAAGTAAAATTATAATCTAATTTTAAGTGATTGTTTTATTAAGTTTTGCATTGAATTTTATATAATTTTATTTTTTCAGAAAAGAGTATGTGGTTATGTGATTAACACACTTTTATATTATCCTATTATATAAATATTAATTTAAAGATGGGAAAATATTTTTTAACAACAGTCTTGTCTTATCATAAAAATAATATACTAAACAATATTTAATTATTTTCTATTTGACTTCCATTCTACATTACAGTAACTGATTTTTTTTCACTTTGGAAGTGAGTCTTTTAACCTAGAGAGTTTGTTTATTAGCTCTAAGGAATGGCTAATAGGGTTGGAATTTTCAAGCCTAGGTATCTAGAGGTACTTACTCAGGACCAGTTACTGTGTTAAGTGTTGGGTATACAGAAATGTCCAGAAAATTGTCTCTTCTGTGGAGAGGGATCTCATCTAATAAAAAAGAGAGTCATGAACACAATTATCCACATAATAAACTCGGGTGGTGGGTAGTAATGTTGAACAATAAAGGAAGAAATTTGGGACCAAACAGGCCAATAAGGTTAATTCTGAGAGAAACTGCTGAGTGCCTGGCATATGACCAAAACAAAAATGTAACCTTTTTCTTCCCATGTTGTCTAGTAGGCTGTCTTGCACACAGCAGGTGTTCAGTTGTTGGGCTAAATTAAAGTCAATGCCGGCACTTGTGCCATCTTGCTGTGGGGTGTGACGGAGATGGCTTCTTTAAGTCTAGCCTTACTTTTAGCCAGGGGACTGAATCCTAAAACAGAAAATTAAGCTTAAATATCAAGCAGAATAATTTCCTTTCAGCTTAATTTTTTTTCCCCCAAAAGGTTTTTACCTAATATTTTTCATCAACGAAGTAGGTGGATCTTGACATGACACTATCTAGGAGAAAGTGGAAAAATCATGTGCTTCAAAATATATTTCTTTTTCTTAAAATTTGACACCTGTAGGCTCATTTTCAGACCACTATGGTAGTACAAAGTCAATGAGATATGTTCAGGGAAGCTGTACATATTCATGGAAGGTAGTGGCACTGGGGCCAGTGTGAGCCATTGATGCACAGATGCAGAAGTGGGAAGCAGGGCTTTGTAAGATAAAAGAGGAGGTAGGTAGGTATGTTTGCCAAACCCTATTAGGGCTTGTCCAAACTGTAAGGTTGTGCCACGTTTTAAGAGTATTCGATAAATCTAGTCATTCCTTCTTTTTTTTTTTTTTTTTTTATACTTAGCAATAATCGCACTTCGGATAAACCTCATTGGCTACGATACTGCCACTGCACAAAGCTGTCACTCCATTTTTCAAACCTAAATTCTTCCAATTACTGTAATTGAAATTGAATTGAATTAAATTCAAATTCAAATTACAGAAATGGAAATCAATTGGATGTCCTGCAGGCTGTGAAGCGGGTCAGGAACCTTTGGGTAGGCAGACTCTGAGGTTCCATCCAGGAGGAGAAATGCTTGTTAATGAACAAAATGCTGGGTCGAGCATCCATGGTTACACTGGGGAACCTCAGGACTTTTAGGCCTTACATATAGAATATGGTGATATCCCCTGAAACAAAGATATAAACCACTTAAGGCCCCACTTTTTAATTTTCTTCTTTTTATTATTAATGATAATTCATATTATATTTGATTGTGAATAAATAGTATCAATAATTAGTACAATACCTATCTTGTGTGAGTCCTGGTGGTAATACCTGTCATGCAGTATCCTATTCAGTCCTCACCACTGAGGCTCAAATAAAGTGACCTAGATTCACCCACATAGTTAACATAAAGCAGAAACAGAATTTCAAAGCAGAACAGTTACAACTTGATTCACAGCTTTTAACCACTCTGCAATATCACCCTCAGAAAAGGATGGGAAGAAAGACAACTGAGGCTCCAATTCTGCTTCAATGTCCTTCTTCTTTTTTGGATCACTCACTCTCTTGCAGCCCCATGAATCCAGAAGGTGACATTACTTGTACCTAACAACCCTTTCAGCTCAAACATTCCATATTTTTCTTGACCTGGGATCTATTGGTAGTGGTGATAGAGTGAGTATTATCCCAGAGGGAACTTTATCCCTTACTTCATGATAGGCACATTTGACACATGGAAAGAATGGGCCATTTGCTCTCTTGCCCCTGTGGAGCTCAATGTTCGTGACCTGTGAGCCTCACAAAACCTGTTATCTCTGGCCAGCCCTTGGCTGTGAATCACAGGGCATGCCATTGCTGCATACAGAAAGCACATTGGACACCATGGGTTAACTGAGATCACCAGCGACTATAATGTTGGTATCTTGATTCTCAGCAACTCTGTTTTGAAGCTGAAGGACAGGGCGCAAGCATACTTATGTGTCTTAATTTGGTAACAATCGCATGTTTTGCTGATGATAAGTCATGCTGTGAATATCCAAGTTGATACTACGCATACTCTTGGTACTTGATATGCATTAAGTTAAACCATGGCTCGTTCATTTGTCTAAATTTTGTCACTTAAACTCCATAACACTTGTCACAAGTGGACTTGGGATATAGTGGAAAAGTAGTTGGGAACTGGACCCTTTTACAGTCTAGCTCGAGAGTCATACTTTTGTTTGTTCTTAGAAATTTTCAGATATTTTGCTTATATTTGCTTACCCTTATTTGTTAGATTAAAATGAATACTAATTTGAGGTTACTTGGTCTTGCAGTTGCTATAATTATAGGGAAATGCTGCAAGGATTTCTAGACCCATAAATAGTATTCAAAGAACTCTTAGGAATCATTTTGCCTAATTCTTTTATCAGGACATTTTCCCCTATTCCTAAAAGAAAAGAAGTGTATGGATTTTAGCATCAGAATTGCTCTCAAATTCTTATCTTACTACCTAGTAGCTGTAAAACCACTGGCATGTCATTTGACCTCCCTTAGTCTAAGTATCCCCAACTGTAAAATAAAAACTCTTATCCTTACAGATTAATGCAAAATAGAAACATAGTATGTAGGAACGTTTTTAGCTTCAAAACCTGGAACAAAGTATTAGCTCAATAATTGTGTTTTTTTCCTTCTACTTTAATACTATAATAACATAATTTTTTTTCTCTTTTAATTTAAAATTAATTTTTAAGTTAAAATAGTAATGTTATAAGACATTTAAATAAGGTAAAAGAAAGTACTATATTTTATAATATCACTTTCTCTTTTCTTTATTCTGAGGATGTCATAAGAGTAGCCGTGAAATCAGATACAGGGATGGAGATGGAGAAGGAAGCTAGTAGGAGAGTAATTACTGGAGGCTCTGCCTTATTTTAAATTTTGGGAGAGTAGATACAGGGGTGGTGAAGTGAAGGTGGGAGAATGGGTTCCTAAAAAAATAACTGGGCAAAAAATGGAAATGAATTTAAATATAGACCTGAAGTATAATTTAAATGATATTATGAATGTTAAAGATGTAAGATAGATTCCCTGACAATAAAAAATAAAGCCCTTTAATATGAATAGTGTAAGCCTACTCAAAATTTTTCATATTCTAAAAACCATGTAGGAAACCAAGGGTGAAAGCCTAAACTAAACTAAAAATAGATTCATCAACTACATTGTCTGGAATTAAGTGAAGAAGGTAAGTGGCCCATTTTTTCCCCTTTTCTGTGTCTTATTCTGGAATAAAGACAGGCAAACTTTCAGATTTAGAAACATATCTTTAAATTTTTTTAAACATTAATATTTCTGCATAAGACAATGTTAATCAATGTTTATTTGTCATTCATTCACACCTGCATGCATTCTTTTATCCAGCAAATATTTATTGAACATCTGTTGAACGCCTTTTTATGTGCTGGAAAATAATGGTGAAAAACAACTGACAATAACCTTGGTCCTCTTTGTATTAACAACCTCGTAGAGAGAGAACAGCAATAATTATGCAAATACACATATTTGAAATAATGACAATAAATCATAAGTGCTACACAGAAAGAGAAAGTTAAGGCAGAGGAGTAAAGATGAGGAGCAATAGAAAAGCGGAGGGCTGAAGTTAAAGTTGGGTCAGGTATGTCCCAAGGGTGCCTTGTGTTCTCGAGACCAGTGTGGCTAGAACAGCACTGGTAGTGAGGAATTGAGTAGTCATAGCAGATGAGGTTAAAGAGGCATTTGGAACTATATCATTCAGAACTTGCAGGGCATTGTAAGCCTTTTACTCAGAATATAGCAATTACATTATAATACTTTTCATAATGGCAGCAAAGCAACTACCAAGGGCTAAGTTTCCCTTCTCTATCTGCACCGACACCATCTTCATTCAGACCCTCATTATCTGTCATCTGGACTCCAGCACTGGCTTCTTATCTCCATCCTCTGCCTCTGTCTCTCTATTATCTCAATCTCACCCTTCTTACTCTCCCCTGATATCTTTCGAAAACACAAATCTTTGTGTTGTGCTGATGAAATGCCCTTTGAAGTTTACACTTTTTCTACTGCCTGACTCCTTTCCAGGCTCCACAGTCCAGCTCTGATGCACATGTCTAGTCCCGCCTCTACCACTCTTCCGTGTGCGCCCCCTGCTCCCCAAATATGTTCTGAGATTGTATAGGTTCATTCATTTGCCTAGAATGTTTTCATGTTATGAGTCTATCATACTCTTATTCAACTTTGAGACCCAACAACAGTTTACCATCTTGAAGGAGTAACTCCTAGCTTTCCAGGTAGAACCAATGGGTCTTTCTTCTAGGTACTTTTAAAACTGTTTTCCGTTGTCATAGCATGTCCTATTCTTTTACATATATTTCTCTGTAACAGATTCTAAGCTCCTGAAGCATGAATACTATGACTTATTTTCCTCTATATCTATAATACCAGAAGGCCATGCCTAGTACTTAGGGAATGCTCAATATTATTTTTTATAAATAGATAAATGTATTACTATATGGACAGGTATATGTGGGTACTTGTATATACTATATTAAAAACAATTAATATGAACAAAAGTAGTCAGAGAGGACTATTAGATGTCTTTATTATTAAAGCTTTGAAAAAAAATAAATTTTTTGATCAAGTATTTTGGCCTTAGGAATTTTTCTTTGATAAATTGAGAGAGTCGACCTGGATGGTCTTTAAGGCTCTTGCAGCTCTAAAACACAATTCATTTATTCACACATCTAGGCATATAGAAATGACTATTATGTACAAAACATATTACTTCAACAAACTGCAAATCATTTTTTTTTATGTCTTATATTTTGACTTAGTTAAGTTCTATGATGAAGCTATAAATAAATGCATGGTATTTCTTTTCAGTTTGTCATATGCTTATAAGATTAGAAAATATTCAGGTGCAACCTAAATACACAATGTTCAGGGAATTCAAGGCAGAAAATGGATACAAGCATTAGATGCTGCCTGACATTTTAATACCACTAAGACATGGAAAAACCCATGTCATCCTTTCTAAGATAAAGGGATTTGGAAGAATATTTTGTTACTATACATGCTGGAACATATCCATAAAATTGCTATAATAACATTTCAGTATTCTAAAACAAATCATTTACAGTCAACAGATGAGAAAATGCATTGACACCTAAACTTCTTGACCTTGAAATCTGATAGAATAAAAGCAAGGAATTAAACTTATATTAGAATTAATTAGTCTAAAAATAGTCTTCTTGCAATCTGTCAGTATGTCCCCAAAAGTAGAATTTCTTTTTTAAGCAAAGAGACCAGGCTTTGAAGACTGCTATCAGCATAAAACAAAGGGGAAGAAGATGGATCCTTATGTTCTAGGAATGAATAGAATTTGAGATTATTTTCAGATTAAGAAATACTACTTAAAGATTATTATTTTTTTCTCTTTTAACTCTTTATGATTTTTCCTTCAAATTTCTTAAGCAAGAATATGCTATCATTCAATGCCTATTAAAAGATTATTTGGATCCAAATCAGGTATTTTATAAGTTTGCCTTTATATTACCAAAGTGTCATCCTGATGTTAACCAAGGAAATGATCTTTGAATTGCTGGCTATGGAGATTTGTCACTATGTGCTGTTCTATGAGTAAAATTGTAGGAGTTTTCTATGGAAGAAAAGAGCCATCTATAGAAAATGAGGCAAATTTGTGTATGTACCAAATGCTTTCTGGATTGCATGCTGTAATTCCTTGCCTCTAACCCACAGTTTGCATTCTAAATAGTTCACTAATGTGTCATCACCAAGGATTTTTATAATTCACATCAGCCCTCATGGATATCAATATTAAATATCTATATATATGTGTGAATATATATTTTAATTAAACTGCATTTAGCGAATAACAATTC